TTAACGAAAATGGTCTGGGAGCAAAACTAAGCATTGGAGGCAGTTAAGCTGGGCTGTAGGTGAAATCATAGTGTATAACTTCTTATTCACTGCCTATTATTTTTCCATAGCAGGGTACTATGTGAAATATAACCACACGCAAAAAGTTTAAAATATATGATGAACGAGTCTCTAGGGCGAGCAGAGCCCATTGGGCTACTCTTGCACGTGGCACGCGACAAGGAGAAATGTAAGATAAGACAAAAGACCTATCTGTAAGACAAAACCAGATGTTCGCCAAGTGGAAGAAGTGCGAGACGAAGGAAAACTCTTGTGCTCAGCATTTGGATGACCGCCCCTGGAGGAGAATAGTGGGCAGGCTCTGAGGAAGGCGAAATCCGCCGAAACGTCAGCTCATTCGTGAACAAAGAATAGTAACACCTCGCGTTTGCTCAACAAAAATACGAAGAAATGTAAGATTTACTGGCTCCCACTCGAGTCACTCGACGATCAACAGAACAGCATATGATATAGTTAACGTCGTTCCCTATCCATATCATAAAGGGAGCGCGTGTAATGCTGTGGTAACGGGTGCCATGAAGCAGGCACTGGGTCGCTGCTTCAATCCCTAGCCTTACGCAAAGCAAGCGTTCCATGCCTCCGAGGCTAGAAAATTGGTACTTCTTTGTAAAAAAAAAAACCGGACTTCTTTGGCAGAATAAAAATATTTGTTTGGTAAACCGATAAATCGCCGCAAGTCGTTTCACAAGCCAAATGTACATTTTAATCACCTCTCTATTTAATGAGGTCGAATGCGTGGCAAATCTCTGAGATTGATCGACAATGAATGCTACATCCTTTATCCTTCTTTTATATATTAGAGAGAAAAAATCCTACGAATCGACTACAATTCAGTTAAAAATATGGTCTCCTTGTTTACACATTTTCAGACTCCCCTCCAGCGACGCATTTAATAGTACTTCATCTTACTGATCCGTACCTGAAACTAAGCAATATGAGCGCAACATTCCGACCACAAATTTACATTAGAAAATCAGTTAATGCGTAGTTTCACGAAGAGATGTTCCAAAGCTGTAGCGAACAACACAACAGAATCTCGTATGAATTAACCGTAAATCCATCTCTTCCGACACTATAGGCAACCTTACCTCGTTCCATTCGTGGCTTAATAATTAAGGTGTCCATTTAAAAAATTTTGCAACTTGCCAAGATTTTATGAAGACCTACTAGTACTACTTGGAACCTACTTAATTCTTATTGAGTCTAGAAAGATCAAGCCGTTAAATGACTCATGTAAACAACCAAGTTTTTGGATGTAGTAGTTAAATCGTTTTTCAACATATAAAGAATACATGCTTTCGTAATAAATACCTTTTCAAGTTGCTTTATTATGTTCACTTTTCCGGCAAACATGTTTTCCAAGCGATTGCACAGTTCTGGAAATTCCTATGATGAAAACTCTAATGCTAGGCAAACTACAGCTTTCTGGAAACATTTATCATTATCGGGTTCATGACACTTACAATATTTGTGGTTTTTTCGATCTGCTCGAACGAGTAAGCATCCCCTTGTCACGTTGACCAGTGCCTAAACACGTATAGCAGATTTTGCTCACAACTGCTACAGTATTTACTGAAGTAGTAGAATAAAGTATAGTCACACAAAACCGTAGTTTATAGAAAGTTATCGATAAACCAACCAGTTTCATCATTACCACTAACAATTCTCGACTCCGATTCAGACATTTTAGAACCTTTGTCTAGTTGCTCGGTCTCTCTAAAAAAAAACGACTGCTGGTACCTTAGAATGAATTCATAGAAAAAAAAGAAAGGAATAGTTAAGTCTTACTTACTTTCTCGACACGAGTGAATTTCTCATTTTCGTATCTGATCCCAAAAACAGTTTCCGCTTTAGGCGTGGTCGAACTAATAGCGACGGCGGCACATCCATTGTTGGCTCTGCTAAAACACTAATTTTTTAATTTGGACAATAAAGGAAGTTAGAGGTAACATATTCACTAATGAAGCATACACACTTTGGGTAACGTCCAGTCCAGCTGAAAGTGCGGGACCCCTACTCGTTGAGGTAACATCCTCGCTTTGGTCACACACAACGTTCTGAGTGTTGTCTGGAGCAGCTTTATCACGGAATGTAGGAACTACTGTCTCCCGTAGATTATGCTGGTTTCTAAAACTGTATCAAGACGCCAAGGAAATAAAATTAAGCGATGAGATGCTTAAGACCAAATATTGCTGACAACGTTAAACTATGACTTTATTTATATTTCAAAAACTGACTCAGCATTTATGGCAATCTGATCAGTATGGTCTTCGTGTTCATGCAAACTTGACAGGCTTGAAGCAGGAGCATGGTCTCCTTCAACAATGGTAGAATCACCAACTTCGTCTGAACAAACAATACACACTCAAGCCGAAACAAGAACTTCAGAAAATTTAGATTACCATCATAACCAGCGAACACTTCTGGTGCTTCTCCACCATTCTCTCCCACCTTCTCATTTTGTTGGATACCAATCGATGTTGAAAGTTTGATCGTTCTATCAAGCAACTGCTGTGCTCTTGCTGATAGCTAAAAGGTGCTATCAAAGGTTGATACTACAATATTAAAAAACAGCAAAAGATCTCAACATTAATAATGTAGTGATAGATGATTTATTTACATGATTTTTTAGAACATCCGCAACGACGATGAATTTCCTACAATTGCGGTAAGGAAAGACGCCTAATTCTTCATAGCAATATGCACTGAACCTGATCCGTACGGTGCACAATGTTGGCCTTCCAGAATGAACACGCACTCAAGATTAAGTCTTTGGCACTGTACTTTGAATTCTCCCAGGACTTTTTGCTCCACATTTTAGATTTACCTAGTATTCTTTATGAACTTTGGGATATTTCCACTCCTTTACAAAGCAAAAACATGTCTATCATCTAGTTGCGCCTTCACAGTCCTTGGATGACAAATGTCACAAAGAATTTCGAGTATATTTAGGTACTTTCAAATGTTTCCCACATATGCACAATACAAGCTGTAACAATGATCCGTAACGGTGACTCAAATAGAATGGGACGAAAAAATAGAACCGGTAATGAAAGAAGCACATAGAAATGAGAATAAGTAGCAGACTAAAACCGCTCTTAATAGGAACTGTTACATCGTCAAGGTGAAGGATTACCGGAGCTCTTATACAATTTGTGGTGAAAAAAGTCCTGTTGGATTCCATATTCCACTAAGAATCAGACACGAACAGCTGTGGGCTCACCTTCATTTTGTAGATAATGCGAGCTACAACGAACAATACGAGCTATATAAAACTGGTTCAGTTTTTTTTCCAATTTTTTGAAAAAAAAGCAAAATATGCGGGTGCTGCGAAAGTGGATGCATCGACGCCTCCCCTTCGTTTCAATAGCATTCCCTCTATATATCCCACATCAAAAGCACAAATGCTGGATCTGCTTATTCGACCTATATAAAGAAGACGATTAAAGAAAATTATGGGGCATACTGCTACATGCCACGGAGGTGTAATTAAATGGATCCTTTACTCAAATCATTAGACCTCGAACTATTAGAATATACAAACAGACAAAACTTTTCGTGTGCACGAGCGACCAGATGGTGTTCTATTCCACATGTATAGGGAACATCAGCACTTAGTACGAGCACTTCTCCATGTGATAATTATGACTTCCTGTGTTCATAATTGAAGTCTATGCGATTTTAATTAAACTAGCCACAGACATGTTCGGTGTACCTATGGACGAACTACTGTGAGAATGGAATAGGAATAGTAGGGGTTCAGCTCGAAGATTATTCAAAACATAGAAAGCATTCATATCTGGTTTTAATAATTGCCAGAAATGGTGGAGAATTCACGTAGAAAAAAGTAGGATGAGTTTAACCTGCAGTGTATCCAAATACATACCGCGCAAATCTATACAAGTAGGGTGTGACTGTTGACCTGAGCTCGTGCCCAATTTCGATGTACAAGTCTAGGAGAGATATATTAACGACCCTCATCAGCAGCAACAGTTTCTGGTAACTCTATTTGTATAGCAAGCAGAAAAAATGACTTGGGAAGGAGAAGAAACTCATCCCAAATGATTTTTCCTTTAATTTTAATAAATTACTAATAAACAGTACAGCTATTCTCGGACTATTTTCGGTGCATCGATGGTAGAGAAGCTACTGATTTAGCACAAAAGAAAAGCAGATAAAAGGTAATATAAACGGTAAAGAAATCTCAAAGTCCATTAAAAACAACGCGTAATGTTCAAATTACTATCTCTGTCCATATTGGAAGTTGTGCACACTGTTAGAAATAACTTAACAATCTTTTCTGTTCTAAAGAAATGCTACATTCAGTCTTCCAAAAATTCTAACTTACCTACTGATCTCTTTGCATAGTTTCTTTGAAAGATTATAGATTCATCAAATGTTTTTTCTCAAGAAACTTAAATAGAGTGGTATACAACCACAATGATACTGAGATACTTGCAAAACTCTTACTCCTAAAACTCTTACTTAAGTAGAGTGTTTTATCGCCACTTCTAGAAAAAATTCAATCAACAACTTCTGCCGATGAAAAGAAATTGCTTCTAACTCGCACCTTTTTAGGGCTTCTCGTCCTTACCCGTTCTCCAACTCCTGTTTCCACATCGGAGGTGTGGCGAACATCAACATGTCGATCCTCTTTAAGTGAACCAGAGCTGGAATATACCTCTCGCTCCTCCTATTACCATTAAAGTAGAGGCAACCATAACCAAAACGATGCTGAGATATTTGCAAAACTCCGAACCCCAAGTGTTAAAGGCAATTATACTTGACAGCAACACAAGTTTTGATGAGGATTTTTCAGCCTCTGACTTCAAAATCTCTGTTTCATATAGAACTTAGAGTCTCTTTAATGGTAAATAATTTACTAAATTAACCAAATGATAAATTCCTTTCTGCACTTCGTTTTTATGGAAAGCAATTCCTCACCTAATATTTACTCCACCTTCAATTTCACACGAGGAAGATTCACTGGAGGATTCAATAATCACAGCAATCGACTCGTTTTTCCCGTTCACCTCAGCACTAGCAGCCTTCTGAACACGGTTTAGGTACCCAAAAAATACAAGATGAAGAGACACGGCTATAGGTGAAAAGTGTACCTGTTTTCTACCTCGTTTTTTGTAAACAACTTTGATATCCTTATCTCTCTCCTTTTTCGTTTGCTTGGCTAATGCTTCCTTCTCAATTTCCTTTTGAATGTCTGCTGCTCTATCATAAAGGTCATCATCTAGCAGTGCAGGTTTGCTCAGCACCTCGAAAAATACAACATAAAAAATACTTTGGATAAAATTAAATTCAACAAAAAAAACTCGAAAACTCACTTCCTTCAACTTTGCCCAATTCGTTCTCTCTTCACGATTAAACTTGCTTTTCAATTCACTCCGCGCTCGTGTAGGGAAAAATTCATGCATCAAACCAAAATCAGGACCAGTGCAGCGAAGGATTTCTGAATAATAACTTGAACATCCATTCTTTAGGCGCTGTTCTTCTACTAAATTAGTGATGATAGCGGCGGGTTCCTTTACCACTAAAGCAAGTTGTGTTTTCCACAAATCTCCATCATAGAGATCCCCAGCGGGTTAGTTGCAAGGTTAAATAGCAGTCCAGAAACATTTGGGTGCCGAAAAAAAAACCGGCTGAAATGTGTTTCAACAACTGGATGAGAACTAGGTTTATAAATCAAGCTATTCAATCCGTTGGTCCATCTACATAAGTAAAGCGATACATTAGTAAGCCACTTCAAACGACTTTGTATACCAGATTTGCATTCAATCACGTCTACGATGCTATGAAAGGAGTTGTATGAATGTTATTCTATCCATTAGTCCCTTATAATGCTATTCCTCCTTTCTTTGGACCGTTTACGTAAAGTTCGCCGTTTACGTGATAGATTCGCTCCACGTTACCGTTCTTCACAAAAGCGCATCGAACGACTTTGCTATGTGAGCCTCTTCAAACTCCTCACGCAACAAGAAGGAGTAGTAAGCATGCGTGCCTTGTCGTCTTAGCAGCTCATGGCTCTCTTAAAAGAGCCCCTGAACCACTCAATCTTTGGATGGTCTGGGAAATATTTCGCATAAATGAGACCATCAGCAACGGGACAGCAACTAGCACTTGCCATTGCCTTTATGCCTAAGGTGGAAACTCCATACAAATCTCTGCCCATTATTCTACCGCAGATACATAATTGTTTTGTCATCTGCTCCAAATAAAAGGAGATGGAGAAATGCTTTAAGTTATTGAATAAACAGTAACAGCGCATTAAATCTACTAGAAAAAAAAGCGAAGGAAGACTGGTTCCCACTTTTGAACGTTCAAATTGACACATCCGAAAAGGTTACACCGTCAAGTGGTACCGAAAGCCAAATAACAAAACATACTGGTTCATCACCTTTCCTCTCACTCTTCACAAACAAGGAGGGCGTTCGTGTGAAGCATTCTTTGAACAGCCGTCAATGTGTGCATAGAAAGAAAACATAAGCAGAAATCCCTGCACTTGATACGAAAAAATATCCGTTTCTAATAGCTACGAAATGGTAGTTCCTTGTCATGGACTCAGAGGAAAACCATGCCTCCAAGGTATATTTCTAACGAGAAAAGGTCCCATTTACTCCCCACTTCATTTATAACGAAATAAACGAAGTTATAAAATGTTGCTTAAGGACTAGTCTAGAGAAATCAGTAGCAATGATTGAACCAGCACCCAACACTCTCAGATATTGGCTAGTTCGTAACCGCCTATACCACCGTCCATTCAAAACGCAAAACTCCATAATATGTCCTCTGGATATAGAGACTGATTGCATCAGCATGTGTACTGTTTATATTAGCACTTGTAAAACGTGTGGAGACAAATACGTTGGTGAATCGGCTTATACCATTGTGCTTCCGTAAAAAAAAGGATAAAGCTCTTGGCGTTGATCAATCCCCGAGGGACGCGCCATGCATTCGACTTCATTAAGTATCTTGGAGGTGACTGAACGCATATCTGGTCTTTACAATGACTCGCGATGGCCTACCGATGTATCCAGCCACTACTGCTATCCTCCTAGACAAGTCTGGCACCAATTTGCCGACCCCGGAGGGATGAAAGGTTTGGTGAGGCATGGGCGCGGGGACCGCTTCCACTCGAGTGTCGCAGTGGTGCCTCCTACCTCTGCGTCACACGCGCCCTTATGTTTTGTGCTTCTGCATAAAAAAAACCTAGTTGGTGAACTTAAACCGGATATAATTACAAGGATGTTAAGATATAAGCAAAACTCGGAACCTCAGTTGCCCTTCAAAGCCGATATTATCCTGACCGGAGACTTACGCGTTATCCAACTCATCAATCGAGGCTCTTGTTTTCCTTTCATTCAGCCACTTTTCTACTCTGTCGATGCAATCAGCAATCAGACATCAAAGGGAATCACTTGGGAGCACAAATCAGAATTGGATCCAGTAAATCTGAAGCTAGGGGTCAGGTATCACAATGGTAGCGATGCCGATCACCACGATGCTGGTTCGATACCGCTCCGGACTCACTGTGCATCTAATCCCTCCGCGATCGGAGAATTTGTATCCAACTTGTCTGTCAGGAGTTCGCTCTTTAAAATGCAAGTGGGAACGCTCTAGCCCGGCTACCTCAGGACTCCAGAATCAACACGACCAGCATTCAACGACATTCATGAAGAAACGAAAAATCATCAAGCAGCAGCCGAAACTAGATGTAATAAGATTGAACACCTTCGTGGATTATGTATTCGTAGAAACGAATGAAATGCGAGAAGTGCTGGATTCCGCAGAGCACATATGAACGACGAGTCGTGTAAAAAGTCTGCAACTATAGTCGAAAGCATGTGTTAATTCTTATTCGCTGCCCACTCTTTTTCATAGCAGGGTACTGCGTGAAATAGAAACACAAGGATAATAAGATATCAATAAAGCTTAGAAATTTAGTTGAGCTTCTAACAAGACATTCCACTAAGAGTATATAGGATAACAAAACAGAATATTTTGAAATAAATGTCATCATTTCACACAATAATCCAAAACATCAACGCGTAAAACCATTCAGCCATTGTGGACAAATTAACCACAACAACGCTGAGATACTTGCAAAACTCCGGACGGCAGGAGTCTGCGCTGGGAACTGAACTCGCTATTACCCTTCGCAGAGCTAACGCGTTCACTACCACACCATGTGGATCCTTTGCTTGGCCTTTCTCTCATCTAGTTTTCTATCTACCAGTGCCAATTGCGAACGCGATTTGGGCTCCCCAGATCAACCCCGATGACGGGTAATTGCTGATACCACTGGTAGAGAGAAAACTAGCTGAGAGAAAGGCGAAACTAAGGACGGGTATGGAGTGGTGGTGAACGCGTTAGTCTCCGAAAAGGGTGATAACATGTTAAATCCTCATCGCACACACCTGCCGTCCGGAGTTTTGCAAATATCTCAGCATCTTTGTGATTGATTTGGTATACTACCCTGCCATGAAGACCGCAGTACGCAGTAAATTGAAAAGGTTAACATTGTGGACAAATTCCAAGAATCCAAAAATAAACCTTTCTTGGTTTTTCTGCTGAGATTATGGAGGTAATTGGCACCTTCCAACCTTTGAGGGCGAAATCCACTGATACATTTGCGAAAATTGTATTGAATAAACCTTGTTTTTGACAACCTTGTATCCGCTTAAGAAGTAAACAGTGACTCAAATATCACCAGAGTACAAGAGACCACTCTGTCTCACACTGATGTCAAGGAAGCTTTCATCTTAGTTCAGCCAAAAGCATTCACAGAAATCATGGCGTGCCTACTCAATATTTAAAGATTCTTAGTAGGTTATATAAGGATTTTACAACCAATCTCCATTCTATAACGATATTCACATCAACGTAAAGAGCGAGGTTCAGCAAGGCGATACCTCTTGCCAAAATTAATGACAGCCCCTCAAGAACGTCATGCGAAAATTGGAATGGACAACTGGAGTGAAAATCGACGTCGGCAATTACATCGCTTTCACTTTGCTGACAATACTATCTCGCCAAAACTGTTTCCTGGCGCATTCCAGGAGATAATAAAGGAATTCGATTGGTAAAAGAACGATATACATTACGATAGGAAATTCCTGTAAAAATTTTTATTCATGAGATCTTTTCTATGTGCACTGATGAAGCACAGAGGATGCTATGTTCGCACAGCTCAAAGAAGTGTGACAAAGGAGTACCCATAAACAGGAAAAGAAATCGAATTCATTTAAAACACATGGTGCTAAGGTAAACGAATCGAACTGGATGGTTCCCTGATTAGTGAGTCCACCTTGTGCCTCTACCTTTGGTGTTCAATTAAAAAGAAGAGTAAAAAGTAAAAGATATTACAAAGAACAACAGAATGGGTCGAATTCGAGTCTCCAACAGAAGACCAACTAACGGGCCCGTAACCTCACGCTCACCTTTGCAACTCGGTTCTATTATGCAGCCAAGTTCCTATTTCAACCAAAGTAAAAATCTTGCATTCCATCTAGCGTTTACAAGATGTCCTTTGAAATATAATCAGAAGACACAGTGGCATGCCGGACTCCTTTGTTCAAGAGTCAGTCGAAAACATCGGAACCAAAGGAAACTGAATATCAATAGCGAAACATAAATCGCCCTCTCATAGACTGAGAACAACATACGACAGAGAGGCGAAAATGTGAGCGAAGTGGATTACAACAGGATACAAGTGTCGTCTGGAACGACCACGTACCCGACAGGCGGACGTGTTTGTAACACGAAAAGCATTCACAGTTAACTCGCTAAGCTTTGCCAAGTCATGCTAAGCTCGGACTAGCCCTACTTTTATATTCTTTCCATACTCCAAAAGTATTGATTGAATGACTTTAAAAAAAATCATACTAGTATCCAGGCAACGTTCAGAGGCAATATTCTGTCGTGCTGGTACATAGTAAGCATAAAGGTTCATTGTAAAACGAAATACTCACCATAAAACAGCTCTGTCTCCTTTTCTGTCCATACAGTACCCTTGCGCCATAATCGATTACGGAATGACAACGACGTAACCTTTCGTGAAATTCTATCCTATTAAAACAATTTTTAAGAATTAAGGAACAATGATTTTTATTAATGCAAATCGTTTAAAAAAAGAAAGCATTAACTCCACAAAAAGGTGATGAATTTACTACATCCAGTTTTCAAAACTGAAGTCATGAATAGTCGGAATAAAATGTGTCACATCCAGAGTTACAATATTATCCTCCACTGGTTCGCCGCCTCAATGTTGCTAACACGTTGCCTTATGTTGAACTGTGATGTCCGACATGGGCGTATTCTACAGCAGGGTCATCTAAGTTGATAAATACCATGTTTTCTTCCCAATACTCAAGAGTGAACTTATAGCACAGCAGAACCAAAAGAGTTAAATATTTCAAAAGAAACAGTGAAAATAATGAGCCCTGTCCAAAACAAGACAACCTTTATGTTCTTCAGTAAGTAGAATCTATCGCATAACTCTGATGTATGGTAAGCACGAATATTGTCCTTACTCTTACTATTTTGAATGCTTCCATGACTGATACCCTCGAAACGATGATACTTGATTATCGATATGTGGCGATAATTCCGATCACTAGAGTACTTAAGAATGTGAGGCCTTCACAATATTCAAGGCATCCTGAAGGAAGGAATCCCACGCATTCTACTGTTCCACTGTCCGAGGAACTTGTTCTATCGTCACTACATTTCGTGGAAAACATACATACAAAAGGATTCCAACCAACCATAAAGCCTATTATGCTTCTCAACAGTGTTCACATACCATCGAGAAAGCTGTTAATGACCCGATATCAAAGGTGAAAGAAGAAGCAAATGAACGAGTGTACATCGTATCTATCCCGATTTTCACTTTCAAGACAAGAAAGGAGGTTCCCACCATTAAACTGCTTTGTATATGAGTACGAATACGTTTGTAGATGGAGAGAGAATCACGATCCAAGCTAGTGAACTCACCTCATTCATGGTCTCCCAAATGGAATCACTAGTTGCTTCAGGAACAACCAAGCTGTCTTCGTCAATCACCAAACGTCCATCGGGCCCAATTTTTACCTTTACATTAGCTATATGAACTCCATAAAGACGATTTTACTTGCAATAATAGACTTGCCATATAGAAAATAAATATTGTCATACCTGTGGTGCCGCAACCTTGCTCGGAGTGCTATCTGTTCTAGAATTAGTTGAAGTTTCTTCCCCAATTATGGACTCATTGTCAGCCCGGTGGCGGGACATACCCTTTTCCTTTTTCGGGTTCCAGTACACCATATCGACCATTCGCATTTTTTTCGTATTTAATTCTTCATCTCCGGTAAATTTTCTTCTCCGCCTAGCACTAAACAGTGAATAAACTGAAATCTACGTTCAGAATCGTCTATTTCTAGATGAAGAACTACCTGTGAAGATTGCTACTACAGGTAGCGGAATCGTGTTCTCCAGTTTTAACAGGATTACTGAAAAATTGCTAAGCGATATAGATTAAAACACACAGGATTGAAACAGGTTGGATGACATAAGTGCTAAAGGAAAAATTGATTTGCCTTGTTCCTTTTCTCAGCGCATTTTGATCAATACATGCATTTCCTTTGTGCTGATCAAGTGCAAACTGCGTCGACGAACAGGGGATATGTATACTTCGTGGTGGAGAAACTGCTAAAAGATGTAACAAATTACATTTATGGACTACATTTATGTCTTCTGCGGTTTCATCTACAGTTTAGAACAACGACCACACCATATTTTCTTGGTAATAGCTTTTTTAAATGTTTCTGCTCATTTCATCAAAAACCGCTCAAAAAATCGTAACCAGCGATGCTTCTATCTAGATGTTACGCACATTTCTCAGAAGCTCAAAATAAGATAAATATAACACGGGCGCGTGTGGCACAGTGGTTGGAGGGGCCCTGCAACACACACGCGGAATCAATCCCCGTGCCCATGGCCCACCAAGCCTTCCATCCCTCCAAGGTCGGCGAATTGGTGCCAGACCTACCTAGGAGGATAGCAGGACTGGCTCGATACATCGGTAGGCCACCGTGAGTCATTGTGAAGGCCAGATATGCATTCAATCACCTCCAGCGATGATAAATGAAGTCGACATACATGGCGTATCCCTAAGGGATTGATCGACGCTGGAAGCCTCATCCTTTTTGTTTTATAATTCGCCAATGCAGAAACTTGATGGGAACCCAAAACAATCTTTTTGCTTAAAATTCCAATCTACTGTAAAGTTCCACTGACTTCTCATCGTTGTACTTCAGCAATGTCCAACAACAAAAATTATATTCGCACTATTAATAAGCTCTCAATTTTTGTAGAGACCTCTCTGAGGGCAAAAAACAGGTACATGGCTACTCGTCAAAGACGAAAACCTATGGTGAGATGTAGGAAATTCAAGCAAAACACCTATAGAGACCATAAGGGTTTACCGGTACTAGTAATGGACTCAGCAGTATGAACCAGCATTGTGTGACCTGGATCACTAGTGGATTCATGATGTGTTGTAGCATGAGTGTTTTCTGAATGTTGACGTGTAGATGAAGCTTTGGATTCCCTTGAAAGCACGATTTAGGACGACATACACGTAAAGACAACCACAACAGAACACACTTTTTAGTAGGTTCACTTCCAAGTTTCGATCCTCTGGCTATATTGGGTTTCACCTGCATACGTCCACGTCTAGTAAGTCTCATGTCATAATGTTCACTTGTAGATGAATGAAGTTCCGAATCCCTTGAAAGCATAATTTATAATGATACACACACTTCGAAGAACCTTCTGATTAAAACGTACTTTTCTCCAAATTCATTCGCCAGTTCTGATCCTTTTGCTAGGTTGGACTTCACATTTGCCCGGCTGCGTCTTGTAAGCATGCTAAAAAATGGCTAGAAAAAATCATTCTTCTTATCGAGAACGATGATGTTTCTCAGGATGTGAAACCTGAAGACGTCCAAAAAATATGTAATTCATCAAATACTTACTCCAACACCAACATTTATCTCATATTGAATACATGAATACATCACTCAAAACGTTAGGATGAATAAGCACGACATGGACTACATTAAGAACAAATATAACCCCCCCCCCCCCCCCCCCCCCCCCACATCNAAAAAAAAAATAACCCCCCCCCCCCCCCCAGATCATCGCATATCTCCCTTTTGGTACGAAGACTATCACTGATGCTTCTTTATATTGGCACCATTTCGAAGAAAAAAGGCCCTGTCACAACAAACCAAATAACAACCTACAATGAAATATGTTTGCTGAAACTCACAGTCCGCAAACGACTGAATTTATACCATGGGTGAAGTTTCGACCTTAGCTAACTACCATACTTTAGAAGCGCAGAAGACACTTAAGGCACTAAAGATCCATAAAACAATAACAGACAAAGCTCTCGGCGTTGATCAATTCCTGATGTGCCATGCATACGACTTCATTAAGCATCGTTGGAAGTGGTTGAATGCATATCTGGCCTTTACAATGACTCGCGTTGGCCCAGCGATGTATCGAGCCAGTGTTGCTATCCTCCTAGACAGGTATGGTAGCAATTTGCCGACCCTGGAGGGATGAAAGACGTGGTGAACCTAGGGCATAGGGATCGATGCCACGCGCATTGCAGGGCGCTTCCAACCACTGCGCCACACGAGCCTCTTGATGTATAAAGAAGGAAAGAAGGATTGATACCATAGTGTATCACAATAAAACAAACACTATGTTGCAGTAACTCACAGTCTTCCCTGAAATCGAAATCGTGTTACGCCCGACATCATCGGTCCGTAATTCAGAATAATAAAGATACAGTAATCTCTGAAGACTTGTCGAAGCACGAAGCTTTTGGAAAAGCTGCATACTGTCTGGCTTTTTGATTGATTACGATTTAACTGCAGCTAATGTCATACAGTGGTTTAGTCTTATTCTGTGAGCATCACGCAGTCGTAGAACAATAGATGCTATTAACTGGAACCAAACAAGTGCTCTTTCCACTTTCTTTTTTCCTTCTCTTTCTTGACCACCTTTAGACAAGCTGCAGTAGTCGCAGTTGTACTACTTACAGTTATCAACTTTGCGTACTAGTGATTTTAACTACCAGCTAATAACGGCGCTGACTGCTGCACAATGGATTGTTCGGAGAAGAACAACTTAGATAACTGCATGGCCTGTCTTCGCCGGTTGTGCGAACCCCAACATAATTTCCACTTTCTCGGTGTTTTGCTGGTTTAGCCACTGTGGTTCGCTGGTGTCCCGAGGCCAGCTTAAACAAAGTCTGCCCCAGGTCGACGCCACCACAGGTAGTCGTAGCCCTTTTGGATCAGAGGGAGACTCACCATCATACAACTAGTTTGATACCAAGACGGTGGCGCTGAAGCTCTTCTCAGCCCAAGAAACCATGCCAGGGGATAAATCCCCCCGTTGTACATCGCAGCCTGACACCCAAGAACACCTCCCATCCATGATGACGCCGTAAACTGTTGGGAGGGGAAAAAATAAATAGTCGCCAACGGACAACTATTCAATCAATGGTGGTCCTAGACAAAAGAGTGCTTCCAAATGAAGAGAGTTCATTGGACCGGTGCTCCATTCCAGAAGATCCGTCTCCATCAAATTACGAAGACCCACATGTGGCGAGAACGAACGACTATGTACAATCGACTCGGACCGTTGAGGCTTAGAAGAAGGCTAAACGGCACCGAAACGTTAGTCGAATAGAAATTTCATCATCGTCATTTTAGCTAATCATTGAAAAGAAGAATAATTCGCGAATTAAACCTTGCTACTTTATATCCTAAAATGTTTGGATGATCCCCATGCCCTTAAAATGTTCTGTTATGATTTAGTGGCAGTATTCGTAGTTACCCGGAATCCCAGATGGCGCACTTACCAACAATTACAAGCCCGTTTAACATTGCAACTCATCTTTGCGTTACAAAACGCTTGTAGCATTGATGGTCCTGCCTAGAATTTCTACGTGCTGTTCGTAATTACGTAACTATTTTGTTTTTGACACCAACTTGGGGATTAATTGTGGAATACAGGTAGACTTTAAGCTGTAAGTCCTTCGTTCCGTTTTCGTTGTTTTCCACTTTGTGTTAGAAGCAGATATTTTGTTTTTACATGTCTATTTTTCCCTTCCATTTGCCCATTGATAAACTAATCTTACCCTAATTAACACTACATGCTCGTCAACGTTCGGATTTTTACGTAAGGGCTAAGTGCAGTCCGTACCACTACAGGCGTTACCTCACCACCTTTTCCAGGATGCATTCAGTTGAAGCTTTCTTTGCCATTTCACCTCCTATTAATCTGAATCCTTCCAACGGTTTACCGCCTAATCTTGGCTGGAAGGTGTTCTTGGGTGTAGAGCTGTGATATACAGCAAGGGATTCATTACCCCAGCAGGGTCTCTGAAGCTGAGGAGTCCGACGTTTCCATCCATATGCTGGGGCCCGCGCAGCAAGTGAAGACGGGCCATCCAAGTATCAACCTAAATTTTCGATGACACGCAGTGCGTTCTTCTTGTTATTCTATGGAATGCAGCACAGTTTTCTCCATCGGTGCACTTATATCAGAGGTGGTTTGGCACATGTCGTATGGCGCGCAGGCAAGTCGTCTCGAGTTCATCCATGTGAATTGTAAAAGTTTTGAGTTGTGCTCCTCTTCACTAAGTGGTCTTAGTAGTTCTTCGCTAGGAAATTTCAGTAATTTTAGACTTATTTTTACGAATCCGTCATTAATTGAATCAGTAGATTCTGCACTTTCTCGATCATATTTAAATCCTTTTAAATTCCTACTTCCTTTTTCGCTCTTCGGTTCCTTCTTTTCTTGTTTTTTTTCCTTAACAAGTTATAATCACTGAATATTCAAGGTTTGGTTTCGATAGAGCTAATAGAGCTTTACACTAATGGAGCGAACTCGATTTAGATTTCCTATAGGAAATGTCTTAGCAGTTTCTATGTGTATCCATGAAATAATCGCAGTGGTCAGGTTGCTGCTGGAGCAAGCGATATTCTCATTTTTCTCCTGCTGTTGTGCTATGTTTACGGGACGAAAGTTGTTCTTTGTGTTTCGTTTTCGGAACGTTTCCATTGGTACGACTGTCCACTCGTATCGTGCACTAGGCTCCGTTTACTTGAAGGAAATCGAAGGCAACGCTCTGCTCAAGCCTCTTTATTTTGTTGCTTTTTCAGAAGATTGTGCTACGGGTAGTTCTTTTTGCTATATCGTTGCAACACTTTGTAGTGTATAGTGCAGTGTTTAGAGATACTCTCCAATACGCACGTGGACCTTTAATCAGGGTGCCTGGCTCGTCAAGGCTTCCATCTCTCCGGAGTTACCAGAGTGGAACTAAACCTTTATCGGAAGGTAGTAGTACTGAATTAATACATTAGTAGGTCACCGTCAGTAGTTGTATAGGCTATATATGCATTCGTTCACCTCTGCGATGCTTACAACTAAAGTCGAATGCTCGGCGCATACTTCAGAGTTTGGTAAACGCTTAGAACTGTATCCTTTCGTCGTCGGCTTTATATCCATAGGTATGAAGGTATGACTGCATTCGTATAGAAGGTATTAGTGGATCGCACCTGAGGTAAAGGCCCGAATTAATCTGGATGCTATTGCAAATACTTGGCCACTTCGGGTCCTTGTTTAAGCTTCACCTGTTAGAGAGAATCCACTTAACCCCACCCTCCCTCGAATCAGGTTCGTGGTTATGTTGTTTTTTCTTTGTTTTATGTGACTCCAAACCACATACATTGTGCGGATCCCAGAACCTCTTCCATTCGACTTGCTTCGCTCACATCCATATTCCAACAGGGTTTTCAGATTTACGTGTACGTTCGGCTACTGCTTGAGGATGTTTGCTTTTCATTATGTATATCGTCGGTTCTGGTCGAGTCAGTTTTCCGTGGAATCGTGGCAATTCTAGGGTGTTTAAAGGTGTTCACCAAAAGCAGTCACTGACCTTTATGGACAAGGAGCTGAAAGAATTATTGCTGTTCTATCATTCCATCGTGCTTCCACAGCATTGTGCTATAAATATTCCTTGATAGCAAAGTTCGGGATGCATTACTTTTGTCCGTAATATATTATTTTCTACTGGTTTCGTATTGTTAGACTTGGTTTAAAGTTGTGCATGACGTTAAGTACTTAGTATTGATTTCTTCAGGAACTTATGAGACCTTTATCGTTGAAAGGTCACGATCGTGCTTTAACCCGTGTACGATTTAATAGAGAAGGGGATTTGTTGATTTCTGCAGCGAAGAACAAGCAGCCGTGCCTGTGGTATACGGAGAATGGAGAACGGATTGGTAGGTGCAGTTGTGTGTTTTCTGTTGGCCGCGGAATTGTTTTGCTTTTGAGTGACGACTTCGAAATGTGTGCTTTCTACCATTTTACGGAGGCATCAGATTTAAATTTGATTCGTTTGAAGATCTGCCATTGATTAGAATAAACTGTTTTGTTTTGTATTTTGTTTTTCAGCAACTCAAAATTTAATTGTGGTACCCAAGTATGTTGCAGTCATAGTTTTCCTTCTGGGCGTTGTTTAAAATATGACCTAGTAAGTAATCTGTTCTCAAATTTTAATAGCGTCGCCTGAAACGCACATAGACCGAAGGGGTGATACTGAAGTTTTCTGTTCAATGCAGTGGGATTTGTTTACAGAGCATAATGACGTTCCTACTAACCAGAACCAGTCCAAATTGTAGATAGTCATTAACCATGAAATAAGCCATGCGATGGTTTCATTACTTTCTCTTCACTTTCCTGGTCTTGGAATCGTTGGCGGCTTGATTCTTCCTTTACAAATGGTAGTGAAGCCAGAAACAATTTTCACATATTCCGTTCTAGGTACCTATGATGGTCATAATGGAGTGGTGTGGGATGTTGACGTATCTTGGGATACGACGCGACTCGGAACGGCGTCAGGAGACAACTCAGTCAAAGTATTTTTCAGCATGTTGTTTTTCTGATATTATTGAGTTCTAACCACAATTTAACTTATTATTTACTGCGTATTCTTTTTTAACGGCAGGGTATACATTGCGAAATATAACTTTAATGATGCTGAGATATTTGCAAAACTCCGGACCGCAGGTGTCTACGGTGGGGAACGAACGCGCTATTGTCCTTTCCGGGGAGTAACGCGTTCACCACTACACCACGAGAGTTTTGAAAATATCTCAGCACCATTAAGGTTATATTTCACAATATATACCCTGCCGTTAAAAGAGTAGGCAGTAAATAATAAGTTAGAATTGTGATTATAACTGGAGCCTCAGCTTAACTGGGTTCGTTGCGATTTGGGTTTCCCAGATCAATCTCGCTGACAGGTGATTTCTGATGGCAGAAATCAATAGAACTAGCTGAGGGACAGGCGATACTAAGGACCCGCATAGTGTGGTGGTGAACGCGTTACTACCCGGAAAGGACAAAAGCGCTTTCGTTTCCCACCGCAGACACCTGCCGTCGGAATTTTTACAAATATCTCAGCATCATTAAAATTATTGAGTCCGTTTTAATTTAATAAAGTGTTCCCATTTTAGTTTTGGGACTGCGAGACCGGAGTTGTGCTCAATACTATTAATACACCAACACCTGCAAAATCAGTCAACTTGTCCTATTCTGGTAGGCGTAATTCCTTATTATTCTCGTACTGAATGCCACCTATGGTGAGCCTAACCTTTTTATATTATCTGTATTCTTGGATCCTTTTTGTCCAGGTCACTTGCTAGCGTACACCACTCAGAAAATGACTAAAAATCCATCAGTATTGTGTATTGTCGACACACGAGACGACCAGCAAATAACTGCCGACTGCCCCCTGTTTCGGACTCATTTTGAATTCGACAATTCCGCAACAACATGCGTGTTTAGTGGAGCTACTGATGTTGTGAGTTTTCTATCCATGCACTTTTCTAGATAACCTATCTTTAACATTCGTGCAGCACCCAGTACTTCTTACATTCTATCGGTTTCTTCGCATCCATCATCCACAAAGGTTTTCCAACTTTTGCGTATGGGTACAGCTGCTGCCTGAAGACTTTACTTTCTTCGTGAATATCGTTGAATGCTGGTCTAGTTGATTCTCCCTGGAGTGCTGAGATAGCTGGGCTAGAGTTCCCAGGCAACTGTGCAATCCCGATCCTCCGGGAGATGAGAAACTTGGTGGGCTCTAGTGGCAGAAATTGTAGAACAATAGCGTTTCGGTTTTTTTGGTGATAAATGTTTTGTACTTCCCACGGTGAAAACTACTAAGCCGTTTTGGACAAATTTAAGAGATTTACAATGTTTTAACGTTTTGTTTTCTGCCTTCTATAATTTTCATGGCAGGTTATTAAGCGAAATACAACCACAATGTTGCTGAGATATTTGCAAAACTCTGGACCGCAGGTGTCTATGGTGGTGAACGAACGCGCTATTATCCTTTCCGGGGAGTAACGCGTTCACCACCACACCATGCGGGTCCTTTGTTTCGCACGTCTCTCAGCTATTTCTATAGATCTTTTTTGCCACAGCAATCACCCGTCAGCGGGGTTGCCATGAAAATTATAGAAGGCAGAAAACAAAACGTTAAAACATTGTGATTTCAACTACAGCCATAGCTTAACTGGGTTCTATGCCGATTTGCGCTCCCCAGATCAACCCCGCTGACGGGTGATTGCTGTGGCAAAAAAGATCGATAGAAATAGCTGAGAGACGTGCGAAACAAAGGACCCGCATGGTGTGGTGGTGAACGCGTTACTCCCCGGAAAGGATAATAGCGCGTTCGTTCCCCACCATAGACACCTGCGGTCCAGAGTTTTGCAAATATCTCAGCAACATTGTGGTTTTAAGAGATTTAGTTTTTTGAATTTGTAATTTCCATGAGGAAAAATGTGTTAACGGTTTTAATGCAATCAGAGATGATGACAGAAGTATACCACAATCGTTATAGGTGTTTCCTGGATCTATTTACTTATCGTCGCTTCGTTTTGTTCCAGTGGTTCCAATGTTTCCATTGCAATACACTACATTGTAGGTCACTGTTGGATTCGAGAACGGTCACATTCTGCAGTACTATTTAAAAAATAGTGAGGAGCCTTCCCAATCTAATGATAAGGCCCACAGGGTATGACCACTTGATGCGACTTTTCGTACAGCATTTTCTTGTTACGATATATATTAAGTATGCCATAACCGATCTGCAATTGTCGCCAGATGGGGCGTTTCTCATTTCGTCGTCCAAGGACAAAACTGCTGCATTGTTAGATGTGTACACCTTGGAGAACTTAAAGCAATATCGGCATGTTTAGTTTTTAATATTCCACGTAGTAATAACAGTCGCATAATTGGTCGCACATATTTGTAAATTATGGTTTTACAGCTCGGAACGACCAGTGAATTCTGCTTGCATCTCACCTATACGCGATCATGTTTGCCTTGGAGGAGGAGAAGATGCCATGCAAGTGACCCAAACAGCGGTATCTGCTGGTCATTTCGAGGCCAAACTCTACCATATGGTATTTGAAGAAGAATTCGCTAGATTCAAAGTGAGTAGGCTCGCGTACACATGACATAAAGCGACAAACACACAAGAAATCAAAAGGTTATGAAAGAGAGATGTACCCTTCAGTAACATGTAGAAACAGTGGTAGCACATAGGACGACTTTTCAGCGCGTACACCAAGAAACGTGGTCGGGAAAGTCTTAGGTAATTGTGCGGCAATTTAGTTGCTTCTCCCACTATCCATCTGTTTTTTCTCTTTATTCACCTCATCATGGAGTGTTGTTGTGAGTTACGACTTTACTTTAGGGTCATTTTGGTCCTATCAATACCATGGCGTGGCATCCATCAGGAAACATTATTGCGACAGGTGGAGAAGATGGCTATGTGCGTGTTCAGGAATTCGATGAGGACTACCTTGAATTTAAATACGACTATTAATGAAGACCTTTTACCGTTCGTAATATCTGTTCGTCTGTTCTAGTTTAACCTAAACGTTTGTTTTCCTTAAAAATGACGATCAGAGCGGGTCTTAAATTGTTTCACCAGTTAGAAAATTGTAAGAATTCAGTCTAGCAGCTTTGGTAGATGCGTTCCTGGTCACCGGTGGAGCTATAAGTTGTTTCTTTTTAGTAGGAAATCCTTCCTATTGATTAGCTTCGATTAAGAATTTGCATGTTGGGATCTTTGGTGTGTACATTGCGTACTTTCACTGCGCAGAGTAAGTGGTGGGGTGTTATTTACCAGTGCACATTGTGAGGGAGTATATGTCATGATGAATAAAATCTTCATCATTGGATATAGGTATGACAAAAGAAGAGTTACACTGGAGGAATAGTTTACACAAAGTAATATTTCATAGAGTATGCGGTAATGAAAAGACTGAACATAAGGCACAAGCTGAGAATAGATGACCTTAGATAGTGTACAAAATTAGTGTTTGGTCCCGAGAGAAGTCGTGTACTCGTTGTTAGTGCAACTCCTATTGCTACCTGAAATAAAGGAAGTATAATCACAATGATGGTGAGTTATCTGCAAAATTCGAAACCTAGGTCATATATCTCAGCATCATCATCGTTGTATTTTACACAGCACCCTGCTATGAAGAAATAATAGGCAGCAAAAAAAGAAAATGGAGGTATTTGTTTGTCACTTCTGACCTTTAAATGAAGTGTCTTTAAGTGGGAAAGCACTACTGTTGATGGTTTCGATCAGTAATCATCGTTTTGGAAACATGTGTAGGGAATATATGGCTTCCCAGGTGTAATTACAACCAAATGGATTTTCACGTTGGTTCCAATACTTTGATTTGTAGAAATTGTTCCAACTTTGGAAAATTGTTGCAGTTATTTCGCAATATTCCGCTCTACCCCTTGAATTATTTACCATTGAACCAATAGGGTGTGTGTAGTGCAGTGGTCGGAGGCGCCCTCCAATACACATGGGATCGGTCCACGCGTCCCAAGCCCACTAAGCCCTCCATTCCTCTGGGGTCATTAAATTGGCATCAGATTTATCTGAGAGCATAGCAGCACTAGCTCGATACATCAGTAGGCCCCCGTGAGTTAATGTATAGGCCAGATATGCATTCGGTCACCTCCATCGATGCTCAATGAAGTTGAATGCATGGCGCAACGCTCAGCAATTGGTCAACGAGGGGAGCACTATCCTTATTGTTCCAAACAACTTTATTCAACTACATGACCCGTATCACCTGTTCTGCGATGATCGTCAAGTGAATCCGACGAGCACCAATGAACCAAGAACTCCGTCTGTTCTTGTCAGGTGTAAGAGTGGTTGGTTCTGCTTTTTCAAGGGTCTCAAACAGCGTCACATTTCTCCTCTACCATCATGCTGAAGTCCAAGCATCGGGTCATGAAACTTCTGCTGTACGTTTGGCTTCTTATGGAATTTAGTCCCATTATTGATGAAATTCTCTACATATATAGAATGTTCTCAATGTCTTTATCTATTTTCCTAGTACTTTCTGTAAATTGCTTCATAGAAGTCAACTCGTTGCATAGTCTATGAGTCAACAGCTAGCTTATGTTCTTGGCTTACAGCTGGCCCGTAGTGTGATTGCAGGCTATTCACTGAACAACACCTGCCGGACGGGTGTGAATTGCTTACGCCCATTGCAGTGCCAATTGCCTTTAGACGACGCATAGAGTGCCCGCAACTTCTATCACTGCTTTTGTTTCAAATGAGGCCTTCTATAACTCGATAAAAGCAAGATGAGGCGGTCACTTCTATTCTTGGAATTCTTCATCGAGCTGACTGAGCGATAGTTGTTCACGCCGTATTGATATTCTTTCTTGCGAAACAACCCTGGTGATTTTACGTTGATTAAGGACCTTGCATTTATACAATTAAAGTTTGAAGAGTGCCTCAGCTTGTCTGAAACACGAGGAAGGGCTGCCAGTAGATTCTTTAGATGGTCGAAAGATTTAGGTGTTGCACTGCTGTTCATCAACGTAGTAGCTTGATGTCGGACTCTAGATGGGAGAATTGCTGAACGATCCTCTCTGGGCTGATGTGGTGACATTTTGGATGTGGTAGTCGATGCCGTGGAAGTTTTGGACGATTTTCCTAATTGCCTCTTGGAAGCAGTGCCTATTCCGCTTTCGAGTGGTAGACGAACAATATGGTCTTATAATTTGCAGACTCCATACATGGTTGAGGGGCTTCAGGAGTTACGAGTTACCAACAAGGTCTTGTTCATCATAATAAATACACACAACCGCTAATTTTGTTCATTTTCTTTGTCAAACTTTGGCGACGAAGTCGCCAACGTCTCAATTACTGCATGTTCCGAAGAACAGTTCTTCGCTATCACGAACGGCGTTTAATGGACGCTGCTTCCTCGTTTCGGCCTTTCTGCTCACATCATGCTGAATATTCCTAGTCCGCATCGTCGGCTTCTAATTGGTGCATGTAGCTCAGCGGTTAGAGGTACTCTGTAATATACACGCCATCTTTGGATAGATCACGCGCCTCGAGGTTCTCGAGCCTTCCATCCCTCCTGTGTCGGCAAATTGGTACCAGACTTGTCTGTACGGATAGCAGCACTGACTTGATTTATCCGTAGTCTACCACAAGAATAGGGCAGATATGCATCCACTTCTAACTACACTTGATGAAGTCGTATCCATGGCGCATCCCTCAGGGATTGATAAACGCCAAACGCTTCATCCTTTTATCCTTTATCATCGGATTCGACATTGGTAGACCAAAACCTGATGTGTATGTGTCAATAGGCGTAGCTTTGTATTGGTTTGTATGTGTGATAAGTACATACTGTCACATAATAATCCTTCTAGGTTTATGCAGCCTAGAGTGAACATGAGATTCTTTCGTAGAACTCTGCGTAGTTGTCCTATCTAGCGCTGCCTTATGGGATGCTCTTTCGGGATCAGGGAAATCAGACCCATTATTTTAACTTTTTTTTAAATGATTCATATTTACATAGAACTTGTACAGTCGAGGGATGAAGCCTGAGTGTGCCCAAGAATAACTCGTCCCATTTCTCACTCTTTATCTCTTACTTATTGGACCCGATTCCTAACCACCCTGCATGTACTTCGCAATTACGCAGTTGTAGGGTTTTGACCGACTTGGTGTGTAGGGCAGAAACTGCATATACACTAGCACACCAAACTATGTATGCATATGTTTGCATTCACATATGAGGTATATTTCAAGCGGGAACAGAAGAAAAGCAGGGCCCATTTCCTGAATACGTCTCAAGACGACTAACAAGTCGCTTTTGATCCATACTAAACTCTTATCTGCCACCTTGCGAAACGTCACATCGACTATAACCTGCTGATGATTTTCTAGTTATAGGATCCGTAGATTTATACCTATTCCTTTATTCCCTTTAATTAAACTCTGTCGAATACCAATAAAGTTACTAGTGTGCATCAAAGCCATCAAGTCTGTACCGCTTGCTGGAGGCATATGAAGACCACTGCGCCTTTTGTTTCAGCCTCTAATTTTATCGCTTTGGGAGGAAGGATGCCATGAATATTTCCGAAAAACTTGATGTAGGCATAGGACGTTTTTAGCTGGACTTTCCCAGATGGACTTTCTCATAGAAATATAGGACTTCCCTGCATTGGTGATGATTCCCTGATGGGACGAACTTCTGCTGTATATCACACATTGATAACCAACAAGGTCTTCTAGTCACAATGAGACCGTAAAGTACTAGGTGGACTGCTCATACACACGAAGAATAATCTTGGTGTATAAGTCATCTTAGTACAGTTGCAACATAAAACCGATAGTTTCCGGCCACCAACATGCTACAACCATATTTTTGAAGCAGATTGCTGTCATTTCCCAGACATTATCCGATAGCTACGACAAGATTTTAGTTCGAACAAAGGACATTTAAAACAATAACTTACAAGTGGCAAATTACCGGCTTCTTTTAAGTCGTATCCGGCACTGCCTTCAAGAGAATGGAATGTCCAGTAAAGAAATAGCATCAGAAGAGTGCCCCCGACAATAATAATTGATGAAACGATTCGCCACAAACGTACAGAAGGCAGTGGCTGTATGCATGTTATACCTGCGATTCCAATAGCAGGAGCATACGTCCACCAGTATTTGTCATACTAGAAAAGTCACATTTACGCTAGTTTTACAAAAATGATAGATTTTTTACACGACACAACTCTATATCTTTTGGATCCCAGCACTTGTTCCATTCCATTCGTCACCTCGCGTCCATCACCCGCGGAGGCCTGTGAACACTTGGCGTATGGGTTCGGCTGCTGGTTGAGGATTTCCCCCTCTTCATAAACGCCGTTGGATGCTGGTTGACTCGATTCCCTCTGGAGTGCTGGGATAGCCGGAGTAGAGCGTTCCCAATTGGGATGCAGGAAATGAACTGTTTCCTAAACAAGTCTGGTACCAATTTTCCGACTTCAGAGGGATGATGTACTTGATGAGCTTAGGGTAATGGTCCCAACAGCACAGTACTCGCGATGAACAACATCACTATCACTGCATTATTCCCTCTTCAAATTGATAGATTGAGCTCTAAAATTTGTTTGGACATCCCGATCCCGTGCATAATAAAGCTCAAGATAATAATCAAATAATAAATAATCAAGATAATCAAGCTCTCCATCTCTTCGCAGTCGGAAAATTGGTAACGGACTTGTCGGGGAAGGTGAAAACATCGATTTGATACATCAGTGGGCCTGTGTAAGTCATCTTATATGACAAATATGCATGCAATCATCTCTGCATTGGTATGAATGGAGTTGAATACATGCAGATCCCTCAGGTACTGATCAACGCCGAATGCTTTATCATCTCACGCTTAATATATTTACACTGTTGATATACGCTCGTGATATGTCGTTAATTCTATAATAATCACACACATGTTAAATTGAGAACGATTCAGAATGGTATGGATAGGCTTGCTGTAACCTCTATGTTCTCATAGATAAGCCACACCAGTGTTACCAACGGTAGTCTGGTACTCTGTCTTACCTGGCACTGATAGACAGCATAAACAATAAGCGCTAACGAAGGGAGTGCAGTTGCAATAGTTGCCATGATTTATATCTGAATTGAAAGTTCACGATATGAAAGATGATATGGAAGAAAGAAAACGTTAGAAATGGCATACTAAGAAAGGAGATTATAAAAATGTAGTACTGACCTAGTCGGTATCGTTTACGATCTGAAGGAGACGGGTTGAGAGGTTGACTATTGGGAAACACTGTTATCTAATCAATGGTCTGTCACGGTGAACCGTTGTAATCTTGAAGAGAAGACACTGCATCTACACTGCCACTACTATGTTTCCGGGTCAACAGCGAACCTTATCGACGACTTAGCTGAGAATGATCAACCTATGTTTAGAGTTTGATCCCACCAGAAGAATACTATGTAGATCTGATCTTGCTCTTGGAGTTCGTGACGACATTATAATCTTGGCATACGGTATACTTTTTGGTATACGAAGCAGTCAGCAATCTCAACACCTCACTGACAAATCTCTATTGATGATAAATCGTTTTGATTAGTATTTGTGTTGTTCTTAAAACTTCGCAAACTTTGGATCGTACATGTCAGAAGTTTAACTGCAGCGTCCTGTTTGTAGTTTCACTTTTCTAGTTTTTCTCACCTAATCTAAAATTTAGAATCAACTTTCCTTTCATTCTTCTTTTTAGACATGACATTACATACTTTTAAAAAAATGGACGGAAGATCTCGACAGACTGGATTCAGATTGTTCTCGTTATTGAAAAGAGGTAAAGAACGACGAGCTTTTCGTTCAGCGTTACCTCCCATTCCACCATGTTGAGGTTGACCATCACAGAAGTTGGATTCCGAAACAAAAGTGAATGTCACTCCTTTCGATCTACGCAGTGTGAAATCGGAACGAGACACAGATTTCAATACTTGCATAGAATGTCTGCCATAATGGTTTTCGATTATAATAAAAAGTAAGATTCTGATCTCACAATGAACTTTGGACAATGAGACGAACCTAAGTGGCAATATATCTATGCCTTTTCAAATTAAACAGCCATGTGTCAATGCAGCTTTGGAAAAAGGCAAAGCAAGGGCATCGGTTGATCCAGTCGACAACACATGAGCTCCCGAAAAGGGTAATCGCGAATACGATGCTCAGCCGAGGTTCCGAGTTTTGCTCATATCTCAGCATCATTACGGTGTTCTGTTTCACATAATACCCTGCCACCGGAAAAGTACATGTAGTTAAAAAAACAGTTAAACATCGATAATTTATAATGCTGAGATTCTTGCAAAACTCCGGACTGCAGGTATCTACGGTGGGGAAAGAACACACTACTGTCCATTCCGGGGAGTCTTAAGGAAGGAATTAGCTGAGAGACAGGCGAAACGAAGGACCCGGTGTACGCGTTACTCCTCAGAAAGGACAATAGCGCGTTCGTTCCCCACCGTATACACCTGCGGTCCGGAGTTTTGCAAATATCTCAGCATTACAATTGTTATATTTCGCAAAATAACCTGCCGTTAAAAGGAATAGGCAGTAAATAAAAAGGTTGAAATTGATAATTTAATTCGTCCTAGAGCTATATAATTCATGGTTATAAAGTTTGTGATGGAGTGAGTTATAAACTAAAGAACAACTAATTTACACCAAGAATCCTGTTTAACTTTTATCGCATAGACACTAACATCAAAAACAACAACATGTAAAAAACAATGACAAAGAAAACACCTTTGAACAAATCTACTCTGAAGTTTTATCAGAATTGAATTATCCATCATCGACTTTTAACAGTATGAACAGGAGAGAGTTAGGAATGCTCTTCAACATCTCTACATCATTATTACTTACTCAACATCGAAATAACAAATGTGGTATGTCTATAGGACTTTGTTCGGCGTCGGAAAAGGATCACCAAAGGTCAAAGCTGAAACTACGAAAGCATCGCTCAAACCGATGGAACTAATGAGCTAATGTATGTCGCTGCTGATGGTCCCATCAGTACTCTTTGGTTCCAGGCATTAAATGTTAGCAATGGAAAAAATCAGTTAGAATAAAAAAAATATGCGATTAGTGACGAATATTTAGTTATTGTAGGATATGCAGCTTCCATTTCAGATTCGTATTCAAAACTGGAGCAATCATCTCAGATTCTGAAAATATTAATATACCCTATAGAAAACCGGAATTCCAATGAGTTCTGTCTAAACTTTATCGCAAAGTTCTACTCTTTACGAATTTCTATCCATCACAAAGCATTCAGTGACAATCAGTGGAGATTCAAACAAGCCGAAAAACAACAATAGAAAGGCTACACATAAGCATTCAGGGATTTTTTAAAGGATTTCTTACCTCCCTTTTTCTCTCTAGACTGATGAGTAACAGTCCACAACAATTATACTTTGATGTGCTTGATAATACGTTTTTATTACAGTCCATAAAAATACCTCTCGGCGTTGATCAATCCCTGAGGGATGCGCCATGCATTTAACTTCATTAAGTATCGTTGGAGGTGACTGGATGCATGTCTGGGCTTTACAATGGCTCCTGTTAGCCTACCGATGTATCGAGCCAATGGTGCTATCCTCCCAGACGGCTCTGGTACCAATTTGCCGACCCTGGAGGGATGGAAGGCTTGGTGGGCCATCAGCACAGGGATTGATTCCACGTGTGTGTTGCAGGGCCCTTCCGACCACTGTGCTACACACGCCCTTTCATAGTTCATGGCAACGTAAAACATTTAGTAGCAAACATCCATACCTATTGGTCGACAGCGCAAAATATCCCCTTTTTTAGTGTTATGTCATGTTCTCAATTCCTAAGTTATTTAGTAAGCGTAAAACTACTCTCTATTGTATTCTTTCTTTGATGAGCTTACTCGAGGTTGATAATTATATTTATTTTCGGCTAACGTTTCGACGTCTTCGTCTTCCTCAGAGCCGATGATCTGAGTCGATGGTCCACGCCTGTTATTCGTCTCGACGTGGCAGCTCCGCCTTCGTGTCGAGTCAGGTCTTCCTCAGTGAGCCATCTCCTCGAATGGGGCATACTCATTCAGTGTAAGCTGATCAAAGAAAGAATACATATTGATTAGTGATACCGAGGTTCAAGGAAAGTTGGTTTCGAAATACTCTCTATTGTAAAAAAAAAAGAAACCAGCAAAAATGTAACCGATTTTAAATTATACGTGCCCGCAAATGTGTTATGGATAATTGTGAAAAAGGGTCTCTTAAAACGTTTTAGAAACAATGCTGGCTTTTCTTCACATCTAAGCACAAATAATCCATCATTTACAAAAGGCTAACACTCACTCGAGACGACACGTAATGGTCTCAGAGTATATGCAGGAAATAATAATTCTCGCTTTCAGCCTTAGATAACCACACCTCAGTTCTGTGGGCTTCACTAACTGAGATATGAAGAAAACCAAAATATGCTTCCTTTTGCGTTCCTGTAGACGACGCATATACTTGAAAACGATAAATCGTTATTTGTTGCAACAAAATTCTTCGGACGTTCATTTCAAAAGATTTAAAATAGAAATGATGCATAGAGAACAACTACATGTACCCTTTTCCATTGACCCCTTACAATTCCCACGGAAAAAACGGTTCGACGAGGCGGCACCATCTCACCAAAGCCGTTACATCCGCACCGCACTGGATAGTGATGTCGTTCGATTTGGACGAAAACGGTATACGAATTTATGGGCCTGTCAGTAAAGCAAAATCGATGCTCAATGAGTTCACTAGACGGGAAAAGGAATAAGGCTGCGCATAAATCCGAAGAAAGTCAGGCCCACGAAAACCCCATTATTCAAGGTTCTCTGGTTAGAGAGCGGATACTTTTTCGTTCACTAAGAGTATTTGTGCTCTCCGAAACAGAACGGACTTATAACAGAGACCTTAGTTGATGTGATGATATGGACACTTGTGCGGCCCGTAATCATGAGCAATTCAAGCAAAAGAACACTTTCCATTCGTTTCCCTGTATCGCGGTTGTCGTCCACAACGGTGGTCTGCTTCGAACACTGGAACGTGGTGAGCACATGCTGTTAGCCGTAAAACGTTTGCAAGTGCGAATCCAGCTAATTAATTATAGTCCCGCACGTAACATCACGGCTGAGGAAGGCGAAGTCGCCGAAACGTCAGCCATCGATCAATAACATCAAAAACAACGACAACGAAGATCTGTACCAACCTCGCGTAAGCTTAAGAAGATCAGTTTATAAGACCACATAAATAAATATATCAACTATCTATGCCGAGGCTTATAGAAAGTCGGTTTTTCGAGTAATTAATTCTAGTTACGGACACCTCTACGCATCGTGTAAAGGTAATCAATTTAAAGGACGCTTGCATCCTCTTGAAGCTTACTTTGTAGTTGTTTTTGTCCATATGTTGTCTGTTCTTCTTATTATACCACTAGACCATTTATGTTGATGCAATTTCGCCATCGCCATCGTTGTGCAATTTCGTGGATCTCGAAGAGAGGAGATCCACTTTTGAACTCCAACTTAATGTATGTGTGCTAGTTATGTTTCAAAAGACGTTATTCAAGCTCTTTAGTGAGTGATGCGCAGTTTTTGACGTTGGTGAAACATGAGCACACGTCAAATGGGTAACAGAACGCTATGACGACCCATGAGTCGAAAATATGGACACGTTGTTTCGGGTCCGTTAGTTGGCTTCTTAGAGGCTCGAATGAAGCCTTCACTGCTGTCCTTCTCCATAATTCCTCCTTCATCTTTTTCTCCATGTTCATTGAAGTTACCGAAAAACCAGTAAAATGTTAAAAACTTTAGAAACAGCAGAAACTACCTCTACATTTCACGATACAGTTATAAAATGACATATCGAAGGCTTTAACTATGATTACATAAGAGTTTCTACACTGCTTTAAGAAACACATTTTCCTCAGTAGTAACACTCACCAGAAGTAGCAGTTGCTATACCTTTAAAGACGATACTGTATATCGACTTACCTAGCGATACGACTTCAGGCATTTGTCCGTCCTTTGGAGGAGTGAAAATACCATCCACGGTGTACTGAAGAGTCAGAGTGCTTACACAGTCAACCATTTTGCTATCACTACGATAACTTACCAAACCATCTATTGGACCAGGAAGATTCCAAGGATGTAACCTATTCGGCCAAATTTGTGGGTGATTGATACTAGCATCAATGAAAAATTTCTCAACAGACTGCTGCAAGGACAAAGCCAGAGATAACTCATCGATACGTACCAAAGCAGGCAAGAGCTCGATCAGCTCGGCTGAAATTATGGCTCCTTTTTAATATATTGTTAGAAACTCGTGCTTCAGAAAACTCAACGAGTTTCGGAAGAGAGATGAAATAATAAACAAACCCAAGTTTCATATATGTCATTTCGTCCACCACATCTTTGTTCAATCTCAAAAGCACATATAGGAGTACAAAAAGATAAAAGAATACACGCGCTGATCAACCGTTATGAGATTCTTCATGCATTCCAGTCCATTTACAACATCGTACAAGTGGATGAATGCATATCTCGTCTATACAATGACTTGCGCTATCCTATTAATGTGTCAAGACAGTTTTTTAATTTTAGATAACTCTAGTACCAATCCACCGATCGCAGAGGAATGGAAGGCTTGGTTTGCCCTCCGTGTGTGGTTGAACCAAGGACCATGTGTGCGCTTGTACAGCATCTCTAACACTGCGCAACACACACTCTTACCTAAAACTACACTTCTATTATTTAGTAGCCCTGAGTAAATCGAACAAGTTGTGAAGCGTCATCCATTACTTGAATTTTAAAGTAACTTTTGAAAACGACGAAAAATAGGAGGTCAAATATCTCTCAGTAAAAAGAATATGACTATGGAGGCCGAAACACATAACAGCATCCAATAATATAGGTTTAGTTTCCTCTCCAAGAAGTCCTGATACACAAAAAATGAGTTGACTGGTCTACCTTCTCAAGTACTTAGTTGGATACTTGGAAGGCCTATCCTCACTGGTTATGGGGATCCCAGCACACTCCGTCTCTTCGGAGTTTTGCTGGTCTAGCCATTGTGGTTCCTTTGAGACCTGAGGTCAGACTGGCCAAAGTTGGCCCCAGGTCGTCACCACCACAGGCAGTCGCAGCCTTTGTGGACCAGAGAGAAATTCGCCACCATGCGACTAGTTTCATACTAGGACGGTGATGGATCCTGGTGTTGATTCACTTTTAGCTAAGCTTCCTGATAGAAACGCTGCATTCCTACTCAGCTTGGGCTTGGGAGACCCTACCTGGGAGACGAATCCCCTGCTGTACATCGCAACCTGTCACTCAGGAACACCTCCCAACCGTGATGAGGCGGTAACTCGTTGGGAAGACCTTCTCAAGTACTGCGTAAGACTATATATAGTAAGGATGTAAATAATGAGTTGTAAAACTAAAACCTCTTTAAATGGTTGATTTCAAAGCATGAACTGAACGCACATAAGATTCGAGCATGGATTCCACGAATTTCAAACGGAGAGTGCATTCGAATGTTTTTACGGATGCAAGTAAAAGCTTAATTACCCATCACATCATTTAACCAGTGATAATGCGTTGCCAAAATATTCAGTAGAGCCGAGTCCTCGTACTCGCCACCTTCCTTTAACGATTGCTTCTTCCGATCAATCTAAATTTTGTCCTCTTATTTTGACATCACCCATCCAAGTACAACTAAAATTACATTACTTATAACAGGCATTGCGTAAAAATTACAAATTGGTGTTTTTGATGCCCAATGAACCGAACTTACCTGTTTCCTCTTGCGAATAGTCGCTGTGGTACTTGCTCGGCTCATGCCGGTTTTTCTAGTCATTCTAGTACATATACTGCTTGTTTCCGACATCATATCAGCTTGCTAGGTTTAAATTCAACTCGGTTCGACAAGAGCATCACGCACAATATTTCAGTATGTTTACCTCAAAATTTTTACCGCATTCTATGCCGTTCTTTATCTTCATAATGTTTTCTTTTTTGATCGATCGGACTAGTGCCAGACGTTTCATGTACCTTGAATGAGTAGCACGATTGGGAAGAAGTAGCTCAAATAAATTGGAAGGCAAGCACTTAGCAGAGTCCGCTGCAGAAGTACAACAGTGAAATTTATCTTACTAGCACCTGTGGAATTCTTCAGATTTTGTTCCGACATCTTCAAAAAGTCCTTTCGCATGTCCAGCCAAGAATTCGCGCATCAATGACACATCTAAACTAAGAAAACCGGCTGAGCAGGACAAATATTAACGTGCTAATTCGAATATGACGTTATATAAACGTCACCTCTGAAACGTTCTGCCGCATCTACGCCATTTAGCCAACGACCAGCTTTTGAGTAAGCCTCAATTATAGATGCAGCTGGAGCCTTCTGTAAAACGCTGAGCAAATAATTACCGAAGCAATGTTCACAAAAAATTACCTAAGCATATGCCGTACTAATACCAAATTTAGCGACCGATAAGCATTTAAAAGCTCGAGTAGAAAAAGTCATGCTTTTTATTCTATCCGTTATCTGTTCTCTGTAAGAACTCGAACAAATTATAAACGAAATTCAGGTGTAAAATACAGCATTTAAAAGATTCCATATAAAAATTATTTGACTTAACCTATTATCATATATCGTGCTCTATCCAACGCTTCCATTCGATTCGCTATTTCGCGTCCACCATCCTTGTAAGTTTCACACTTTGCGTGTGCACTCCACTGTTACTTGGGAGTTCTTTGTCTTCATCATGAATGTCGTTAAAATGCTGACCGGATCTATTGCGGCTAAAGACCTGGGATAACGATCCTTGCCAGTTCCCAGGTGTTCGTCACTGGCAGTCAACAACTGCAGGTTGCAGGCGTGAGAGCGAACTCGTCCCAGACGAGTATGGTGCTAATTTACCGATTCCGGAGAAATGGCAAAATTGGTTAGCCCAGGGTGGTGTTAACTAGTAGCTCACCACACTCAACAAAGTACCAGGATTAAACGCAAAATATCAAACTATTTTTAAAAAGATTTTTAAGATTTAATCTACAGAATGTTCGGTATTTATCGACTTTACTCCACATGAGTTCACAAGACAACTTTTAAAAATGTTATTAACAATAGGTAAGTATTCTAGAAAACCACTTCGCAAGAAACGAGTGGAAGATACCTCACCGCAATTTCCAACGCTTTTGCTACCTCACACCACCGACCGGACGCCTTCAAAACGGTTGCCATTTTCATTATTGCTGTATTGACGACCTCATCTGGTAGTCCCAGTACACGTGCTCGAGATACGTAGCGCTCCACATTTCGAGATAATTCCAAACAACGCAATTCCTGAAGGCAATTGCAATAATGCAAGGCGCCCAACAAACTTTCTATAATTTACTAAGTACAACCCTTTTAGTAAGATCTATTATATTATCCGGAAATATAAACAATAAAACATAAGGCTTTTCGGAGTTAATCAACCACTTATAGATGAGCCATCCATTTGACTTCATTCGTAGGACCGAAAAGATGACTGGATGCATACTTAGCCAATGCAACGCCTTTAAAAGGACTACAGATGAGTCAATGCAACGACTCGACCCTGTAGATATTTCAAATCAGTCCTAATATTAGTATTATTAGGTTTTGTGATAGCTATTTTTACATGACAGCTTCAAGATGAATTGACGACATGGAAGGAAATCATTATCAGATAACAATCAGTCAATAACCGCTCCGTATAAAAGTGCGTCCCGGTTGAGGTTCATGTGTGCGGTGCTCCACTGAGGAGGATCCAACATGATACGACGATGAAGACGCAAGATGGAGAAGACGAACAACTGTGGACCATTTACTCGGATCACCGGCTCTGCGGAAGACGAGGACGTCGAAAATTTGGCCGAATAAAAATTGTATATCAACCTTGTGTAAGCTGAACAACTCAAAGACATTTATTAAGTCGCCGTTCATATCTTCCTAGATAAGTGATAGTAATCTGTCGATCTCAGAGGGATGGTGGCATAATCAGAATGGTTCTAGACTTCCCTTGTTCAAAATTTCCTGTAAAGAATAATTGATAAATTGTGACTGTTGGATTAACTAACACTTTTTTCTATATTTCTTCCCTTTCTTTTAAATCTCAGGAAATATATCCATACACCGCGTTTCCTCTAACCTCGACGGGACTAATTAATACGTATTCTTTCATTGACAAGCTAACGTGAAATTGATAAAAACAATTTTATTCAGTTAGCGTCCAAGCGCTTTAGGCTTCTTTAGAGTCTCCAAAAAGACTCCTAAATACTTAATCACTGTTCTTAAATTTTCTCTTAAAAGACTTAATGTTCCACAATTTTGCTTTTTTCAATTCAAAACAAAGAAAGAAACAATTCAAGATTAAGAAATATTTCTACAGTTGCCGTTAATTCAGTAATAATCATTCATATCGCCTGAGTTCCACGTCGCCAAGAATGCTCATCAATATAAAGTCACGAAATTGGCCCCATTATTCTATACTCCTTCAAATGGCCTCTTTCATAAACTGTTTTTGTGTGGAGACTTTGCTTCTTTCATACAGTTCTTTTGCTACAAATAACGGATTGGAGAACTGTTTTTGCTAGCTAGTGACTATACCCCTCCTAACAGTTTACCACCTCATCGTTGCTGCGAGGGAGGTGTTCTTGGGCGTCGAGCTGTGATGTACAGCGGTGTATTCGTCTCCCCGGCAGGGTCTCCTACGCTGAGAAGGAATCCGGCGTTTCCATCAAGAAGTCTAGGTAAGAGTAAACCAATACCACGATCCACCATCGTCCTGGTATCAAAGTCGCATGGTGGCAAATCTCTTTCTGATCTCCAAAGGCGGCGACTTCCTGTAGTGGTGATGACCTGGGACAAACTTTAGCCAGGCTGACCTCGGGACTCGAAGGAACCACGACGGCTAAGCAAAACTCCGAAAAAATGGAATTTATGCTCGGATCCATACAACCAGTAAAGACGAGCCATCCAAGTAATGGGTGCTTTTTTTTTGAAAGAACTTGGTATCAACCATTGGAAAACTTCGTTGCAAAAGACACATGTAGAAATAGAAATAGATAAAGCAACTTTCAAATGAAGAAAAGGAAAACTTGTAACCTTTTCATTGTCCCCAGCTCTATTGTATATTAGCGCTGCCTCATCCCACAAAGCATTCAATTCCAATACTTCCGCGTAAATGGAGCAAACATCCTTAAACGTAATAGGTTCAAAAACAGATACGAAGAAAACATCTATACAAAACCACAATATGAAAGTAAATAGACATTACAACGCTATATCTCAAGACAGTTGACCGCGGCGTGTTCTGCTTACGAGGAATGTCTCTTTCCATAATAAAACCACACGAAAAATTCCTATTCCAGATCTACGATTAACACATTCCTTACGAGGTCTAATTTTCGAGAAACGGGCCCATTCAACTTACTTGACCTCGTTAGTGCATTGGAATCAATGCATCTACTCGTATGCATGCTAATGAATGGTGTATTTCATCGTAAGAATGTCCTCCTGCACCTATCCATTTTTCGCAAATTTTCAGCTACTGTTTGATAGGGTTATATCGAAGCTATGGTGCAATCAGAAATACAAGAGTACTAAGAGATGACAGCTTACGGCTCCGTTAGCCTCACACAGATGATAATTCGCATTCCCTTTAAGTTAAAAGTTCAAGCACAAGTTCGTTTAGTCCAAGTTTTTCTCAGCCTTCTATGCAGAAATGAACTAAACATTCACCTGCCCCCTTTAGTAGAAATTAGGTTAAGTCGAATATAAAACTGAGTGAAATTCACATGAATCTTATGCTGAGCTGGTAACCAGAGAAGCTCACCGAGCTCACCACTAGCTCGCACATTCAAGAAAAAACTATCCTGATTTCAAGAAAAATGCCAATGGACGGAATTAGCTTACATGCCCAAGTAAAAAATGATAGCCATTTAAAAAAACAATCGTCAACTTCATCTCGGTTTCCATTTTCTTCGGATCAACACGAGATTAAACGCTGTTAAAGCAAACTCTCAACGTTTTCTCAACCTCAACCACTCAGCTCCAATCCCTTGACAACACCCATTAGACAGAATGTACAGTTAACTGGGTATTAAATACACCTGTCAGCTTAATGTGGAGCTAACTTTCACCAGGAGACATTCACTATGGCATTTTTTCCTTTACATGGCCAATGACAGTAACTGACGCATACTATCATTAAACATATTTGGTTGTTTATAAACTGCAGAAGGAGTTTATAAGAATACTACTCATAGATAAGAATGTACTGACTGAAGTCTTTCATATCAACCTTTACACATAATAAAAATTCGACGAAAAACCAATGAAAGGATAATAGCGCGTTCGTTCCCCACCATAGACACCTGCGGTCCAGAGTTTTGCAAATATCTCAGCAACGTCGTGGTTGTATTTCGCTTAGTAACCTGCCATGAAAATTATAGAAGGCAGAAAACAAAACGTTAAACATTGTGATTTCAACTACAGCCATAGCTTAACTGGGTTCTATGCCGATTTGCGCTCCCCAGATCAACCCCGCTGACGGGTGATTGCTGTGGCAAAAAGATCGATAGAAATAGCTGAGAGACGTGCGAAACAAAGGACCCGCATGGTGTAGTGGTGAACGCGTTACTCCCCGGAAAGGATAATAGCGCGTTCGTTCCCCACCATAGACACCTGCGGTCCAGAGTTTTGCAAATATCTCAGCAACGTCGTGGTTGTATTTCGCTTAGTAACCTGCCATGAAAATTATAGAAGGCAGCAAACAAAACGTTAAACAGTGAAAAACCAATGAATTCGACGTTACCTTAAATCTTGAGGAATTTTTGTATATGATTAAAGCTGCTGAGTACAGTTGCTTTTCGCGAATCAAAGCCACAGCTTCGTTCCATTTGTCGTCAAGACGAGATAAATGTGTTAGAGCACTCTTCCAATCCTCTCTTACCATATCTATTCGAAATTTACGGTAATCATCGGGCTCCACCTAAAATTTGGCAGTACGACTTCACTACCAAAGTGGTATTTGATCCCCGAAAAAACCCATGTATAAACAACGGTGATAGAGCATTCCCACGTAAATTTGAGGGAGTGAGCTCAGACGCGAATGGGACCAATTTCCTAAGTACGGAGGGATGAAAGAATTAGTGAACCCGAGTACGATCGAATCAGGACGTGCTTGTGATGATGATAGATGCACTGCTATGCAGCAAAGTCGGGGGCCGATACTTCACCCACATCAAGAATAGTGCGCACTACCCACAGAGTGCTGGAACGATGTCTTCTGAAATTGAACCGGCAATCGCAATGTCTAGTTCGAATGCGCATCTGAAATATTCGGAAGCTGTCTCATGTTCGGAATCCAGGAGAATATACATAAACAGCGAACCACAGATGGGCTGGTCACATAATAGAAAAAACAGATCACAAGTGCACGAAAAGAACAGTGGAGTGCACTCCAACAGAATAGAAGCGTTCTTTTGGAAGACCAACCAAATGATGGGCGATCGTCTTCGTGGCTAACGTCAACCATCTGAATTCGCATATGGTAACGATTTCAGGAATATGGAATCCGCCTCGCGGAGGACATCATGTTCGAGGCAGACCGCCAACAGGGACAACAACTGCACGAGAGAGAAAGGAGTGGAAATTATGCATCGGCCCGCCCAACCAGTGAAAAAGCACCACCAAAGCATCTAGGTAAGCCGCAATGAGGTTCACTAACGCCAAAATTCCTAACACCTTTCCAATAAGTTTAAAAAATAATGGAAAAAATTTACAGTTAGCCTCTTTAACATAGGATCCATTCTAAAATAGTTTATATTTTGTTCCTCACAGCCATTACTATGGCATAAATACTAGTCAAACTCTCCAAAAGAAAAACAACAATGCATTCATAACACTTTGGAAGCTGTGAAACACAGTTTTTAGCTCCGTACTAAAAATTTTCATCAGCCCTACTTTTGTATGAGTAAAGACACGATCCAAAGTGATAAAAATAAAATATTGGGTCCAAGTACCTTTCGAAGCTCATTCAATAACGGTACGTACTCTTTTGGATCACGATTTGACATCTCTGCTACCTAAATGAATGCAAATGAATAAAGCAGACCACTGTCACAAGGCTGAATCTGTTAGCTACAAAGCTTTTCGACACTACCTAACGTGACGTTAACACTAGGCTTGGATAAGTGAGTCACTGAAACGATAGTACCTGCAGAAACACGAGGTGCTATTCCACTTTCCCACTCACGTTAAAGTTGACGTTTCGGCGGATTTCGCCTTCCTCAGAGCCGCTTTCTGTGAGTCTTCCACTGAGTATGTCGTGTGAAGACCAACCGCACAGAATTCACATGGAAGCGTAATGTCCATTTAGTCGCCGAAACGTCAGTTTTTACGTGAATGGGGAAGTGGAATAGCACCTCGTGTTTGCTGAGCAGAAGTGGAAAGAATTGTTCAATCAATGCCGAGGTTAATAGAAAGTCGGACGTGGGAGTACCTGCAGAGTCAAACTCAAATCATATGTAGATAAAGCAGCATTGAAGAGTTTTGTTTCATTGACGAAGAATCGTATATGATGAAGCCACTTTCGTGTGTAACCATCACGTTGCTCATCATTAACTGAATAGTTAACTCTAACCGAATAGTTAACACAAAGATTTAGAAAAAGAAAGAACTTCTTCGGTTGGAAAGGTCAATATGATCAATTCGAAGAAAATGAAGAACAGTTATCAGCGTTAAGAAGAAGCTTCTGAAATCATGACTGTTTCGCACTACCTACTTTCATCCGTTTCCTTCTTCATTAGGCGTAACGCTTCTTCGACTTGCGGTGGTGACGATTTCAGCAGAGCAGACAACACGACGGCAAACATGTGTACACGACGATTAGGTGCCAGTGAGAGAATTTCTCTTACCAAGATCTCAGTGATCCTATTCACCTGTGACAGAGCTCTATTCCGAAATATGTCTGTTAATCCAAACTGTATCGTACGACATTTCATCAAGTTCGTATTAGGACTGAGACAAGATTTACATATGGAGAATAGTTATTTTTTACATTTAAGTTGTGCCGAAATTATCTAATGATGAATTACATGTACGTCTCCCTAGTCCATAAGTTCTTTAGAGTGTAACGGAGGCTAGAAGAATTCAGATGTAAAATAGTAGGAAGTAGCAAATGACTGCCTTAAACACTCTCGCGACGCCTAATATCACGTTTCTTGTGGATTACGCGACGTCTAATTTTCAGTTTTTATGGACTTGCTGGTTTTTGAAAATAAAGGGTTCGATAACTAGGGGACATCGAGTGTTGTGAACACGAATGGATTCTAGAAAAGACTTCGTTCTATCGCTCTATGGGTATTTCTGGTAATATTTTTATTATTATGTTTCTATGATCCACCATACAAACACATTACTGTCAACACTTTTAAGAGCTTTGAAACTTATGGGTCTCTATTTCAGTACTGGCTATATTCCGCACACTCTACACGATAACAATCCTTCGCTGTAGCAATTAAAATTGAAACAGTCGATTAGTACTCAAATATCTGGCTAGCGAACTCGTTTGAAAAACGATCTTTTGTATATTTCTAAGTACAGAGTAAAGCTTTTCTTCACTAATGGCCAACGCAACATCTGTGTTCTAAGCTATTATTTGGAAATAAAAAATGTAGGAAAATAGTTCTATGTGTTAAAATAAACCACCAGCAATAAAATGAGACCTATAGGTGTATTACTGGCCACTCTCGTAAAACGACCATAACACCTATAGGTTTCGTCGCGAGAGTAATAAACCAATAACCAAGGATAACATAAACCGTATATCAATGTTCCTACATCAACCATGACAACAAATGGTAGAAATTTGAAATGTGTCGCAAATAATACTGACCATTACTATTCATAAAAAAGGAACACCATAGTCTACCTTGTCACTAATGACGATTCCATCGCAGTATTGACTTCTGTCATTATTTAACGCCGTGACAAAAATAGTCATGAGCTCAGGATCAGCCACCGACTGTATAAACATAGGTATACTATTCATAAAAACCTGCAAAACACATAATAGCTTAACACTTACGCTCAATTAGTAACTATGATCACAGTTATAAAGCTTAAAGTAATGCAAGTAATAATAGTATAGTACTGAACACATTATAAAGCTAAGAACTACGATAGACTTACATCAGGTTTGTAATCCACAATCAGGTTCATATCAATACGATGCTTTTTCATACATTTAATAGCCTCCAAGTAATTCTGTTCGTCTATCAGCTGCTTGATAACGCGAATTACAAAGCTTAAACAGGTAGTTAGGTGACTTATACAGTAAAATCACTGATTAAATAATTTCTAAGTTTTTAAGGAAAAATAAGTTGCGAAATAAATTTTAAAAAACTACGCAATTCCAAAAGTCTTTTGAAAGTGCCGATGGAAGATCTCTAAAAACAATGTCAAACAATAAAGTGTGTACCATGGATCATTTTTGTTTCTAAGCTCATGAAACGCTATCTTTATGTCCGCGTTTTATATAACTATATCAAAGCGTTTATAAGCAGTAGACATGAAGTAAAAAAAAAACGGATAGAAAGAAATTTAACCCACAGTCGAGGGTGGATAGTTTCCAGATTCCCTCGAGGCATCTGCATAATCACATTAACACCGTAAGAATTACAAGCGATTAACTTACTTCCAAGCTCCACAGAGCGCTCTGAATATCGACTATAGTACTTTTCACTTCAAACATTACTTCTATACATCAAATTGTGATAAACTTCAAAATTTCACTCCACTGGTAGCATGGCCATAATTAAACTACAAAAGATATCCACATTCTTATTCAGAACCGGAGAAAAGAAAAACCCTTCAAATTATAAAGAAGTGATGGAACTTTAATTGCACGATAACGAATCTAACCGGAACTTTTTCGATAAAAATGTTATTGAACTGAAGAGGATCCTATAAAGAACAAAGAATCGCTCATCAGGGCACCTAGACCTATGCCAAGTTTGTCTCGCTTCCGTTGATCAAAAAGTTTGGACCGAATGAGTATTTTCCGAATACAAGAAAAATATACTAACTGCTTAAAACGATAAAACGATGCTTAAGAAGGGCAGGTCTAGAGGAATCGGTAGCGATAGTTGAAATACCACCGGCTACTCTACGTCGTCAATTAGTTCGTAACCGCCTGTATGACCGTCTATGTGAAACAACAAATTGCGTAATTTGCCCTTACGGCAGGGACGGTGATTGCATGAGTTCAGGTACGATATACCTGATCTCGTGTAACAATTGCGGAGATGAATATATTGGCGAAACGGGCAGACCTTTGTGTATCCGTATAAAAGAACACCTGGATGGCAAACGAAAACTAAGACGAAGCACCCCACTAGGCACGCATAGGATACAAAAGCATAGCGGAGACGATTTTGAAGTAAAAGTCAATATCCTTGCACAGGAGAATAAAACACCAGCGGGAAAACTTCTTGAGGCTTTTTGGATAAATGCCAAAAACCCTACAATGAATAACAGGGACGAATGCCCGGAGGTCATACGCGACCTGATCCCGCATGTTCGCATCGATTTTTGATGTGGGATGGTGCAGTCGTCAACCACATGCGACTATAATCAGCTGTTCTAAACTTCCTCATTGGAAGTCACGAAAAAGCGGTGGGTTTTTCGAGAAGTTGTTGATCGTGTAATTACCAAAGAGTCTTTCGTCTTTGTTTAAGTGTTATTGAAGCGTTTGGCTTAGTAGATTGTATATCAGCATACCCTTACAGGCTCTGAAGAAGGCGATACAGGCGAAACGTCAGCTAGTGTTGTATTCTATTGTTTCTCTATGGAAGCTAATGTATGCTGTTTACGCTGTTTAAAAACCTCGCGATTGCTGAACAAGAAAACGACACATTAATATACTGACTGTCAATAGTTCAGTAAAATTATCAAAGACAGTCTCTACATGCTGTTAAACTGACAGTATTCAGAAAGCAAAGCTTTTGTGGTAGGGTACCTGAGAAGAATTTCCTTGCTTTTAATGCGCTGTAGTGCAACAGCAGCCACTCAGTAGGCATGGACAAATATGTTGGTTGACCATATTTCATATTAATGAAACTCCGTGAATTCTACTTATTTACGTTTTACTTCTCCAAGCCGTTCTCACATATCGTTCCAATATCAGCACTTCGTTCACCCGTTACCCACGAACATCTTTGAGTTTCCATGTGGGTTTGTCTCCTAAGCAGTATGCGGTGCGAGAAGCGCAGTGGTTAGACGTACCATGCAATAAATGCATGGTCACTGATTTAGCCTCACCCTATGCCGCTCCGCTCTTTTGAAGTAACCAAAATGGTTTCGAAGTTGTCTCGGAATACGTCAGCCCGATCTACAAAGGCCGGCTACGGCCTGTGGTGAAAAACTGGGTACATCCTTGAAAAGTAATGCGGAAATTCCAGGGAGAGCAGCAGACCAGAAGCTTTCGGGGAAACTTTGTAAAGAAGACGAAAGGCTTTACAAAAGTTCCAAGCTGCTGCCAAGGTTTCACTTGACAATTAACAGAAAAAAGCACAGTCCGTTAACGTAACTAGATTCTGTAGACTATCCTTCAAGTATTGCCTTCAATAAAAAAAGAAGAAAGACAGGACAATTAGAAAAAGTAAAGGGAACGAGTGCAGTAGCTGCTACTATCTGCTGGACTGTCGAATTTTTACCACATTGATATGCAAACAGCTAAAATTTCCTTATTTCCGATCTTAACAAAACAATACCTTCCTGGATTATTAAGCTAATATGAGGTTGAGAAAAAGGTTTACTCGATTAACGTTTCGAGGTCTTTGTCTTCCTCGGAGTCGGTGATCATTTTAGTAATCCAAGAAGATATTGATTATTAATGCCGACGTTAAACGACGGTTAGTTAAAAAAATCTTAACGAAGCAATTAGATCTGACGTGTGGAAATTAATGCACACATAAAAAACTCAAGCAAATGATAAATTTACTTTAGAACAATACAGAAGCATTGTGAGTCTCTACATTATTATCATGAACTACTTATGAAATGCAATGTTTTTCATCAATAAGCAGACACGAGGTTGTTAATATAGAATTTATTAGAACACAATTGTTGACGTTTCGGCGGTT